TTTCATTTCTTAATCTCTATTAGGAGAGGAGGAATGAATTTTCAAAGCGCGCAGTAACTCCAAACAAGTTCTTCTCATTCAAAAATTAATTTCTCCCCTCCCTAATTGAGATGAAGTAATGAAACCAAAGCCTACCGATTGAGAATTATCTTTTTAATAAATGACATCGGCTTCATTTCGTAATCTCAGTTAGGAACGGAGGAATGAATTTTCAAAAGCGCGGAGAAATCCCGAACGGCTCTCCGCGAAGGTCGAACATACGAATGTTTGCTAATCAGGCTCCATTTTCGATACAATTTGTGATTTGGGCGTATGAAACTAATGGCGGATGTTTAAGGTTCCCCAAGTTTGTGCGGGGGTTGAAAAAGCCAAAAAACTACCCCTGAAAACCGTTTTTTCGGAATAACTCGTGAATAACGCGCTGTACATCCAAAAATATAAAATACAAAGTTGTGGAGCTCAAAATTCTACACAAAAAATGTTTGAGGTACTTTACCCCTATGCCCAACCGTTCATCCCTCAGAGCCGCGCGAAGATCAGATGGAAAAAAAAATGTTTTCCATTAAAAAAATTGAAGTTAATGAATTTTTTTTTTTTTTTGTAATTCGGAATATCAGTGTTTTTTTTCCAAGAGGTTGTTTATTTATTCAGAGCGAGATTAATATATGTTGCTATTTACATCTTGACATTGAACCGATGAATTTCTTTTTGTTTTCTTCCATATTTTTTATTAGAACATTTACCACAAATTTTGTCTTGATCGTACCCGTGAATCTCCTATGGATTCAAAGTTAAACGCAGTTTTCTAGCTCCAACCCCTAAATCCGGCGCCGGGAATGAGAACTTTTTATGCGAGAGAGAAGTCTCCGTCTCGCTCCCACTCCCTACAGCATTGTTCCGACCATTTGAGCATGCGCACACGGGTCTATGGAACATCACGGACTGAATGGCAGAAAAAGAATCATTTGAGGTTTTTCGTCAGCCGTTCGCTCTCTCTCACTCTCTCTCTCTCTCTCTATCTCTCTCAGATGAAAAAAAGGCTGTTTGACGGAGAACTAAATCACCCATCAATTAACTCTCTTCCATCCCTTAATCTCTGTGAAAAATGGAAGAAACTGTCATGAAAATCACAGCGCAGTAAGAAAAATAATTGTTTTGCGGCGCGCAGTGACTCCCGGTAATTAAAAATTCACCTCTCCCCTCCTAATTGAGATTAAGGGATGAAAAAAGGGCAATTCGACGGAGAATTAAATTCCCTATCAATTAACCCTCTTTCTTCCGTTAATCTCTGTAACAAAAAAATATAAACTGCCATGAAATTCATGGGCCAGTGAGAAAAATAATAGTTTCGCGG